AGCTAAACCCTGAGTATATGGGCAAGATTCACCAGCCAGATACTACAGAAAATTCTTTCCTGGGTAACTCAGATCCCACCCCATCTAATATCCCATCACAGGCCATTAGGCCTATTTACCATGAATATTTAATTACCAAAATCATGTTATCCCATCATACCATCTCCTCCATAAACTTATCGAGTTTAATCTTAAAGCCAGATAGATCTTTTGCCCCCACTGCTTCCCTTGGAAGGCCATTCCAAAACTTCACTCCTCTGATGGTTAGAAACCTTTGTCTAATTTCTAGTCTAAATTTCCTGGTGGCCAGTTTATATCCATTTGTTCTTGTGTCCACATTGGTACTGAGCTTAAATAATTCCTCTCCCTCTCCGGTATTTATCCCTCTGATATATTTATAGAGAGCAATCATATCTCCCCTCAACCTTCTTTTAGTTAGGCTAAACAAGCCAAGCTCCTTGAGTCTCCTTTCATAAGACAAGTTTTCCATTCCTCGGATCATCCTAGTGGCCCTTCTCTGTACCTGTTCCAGTTTGAATTCATCCTTCTTAAACATAGGAGACCAGAACTGCACACAGTATTCCAGGTGAGGTCTTCCCAGTGCCTTGTATAGCGGTACTAAAACCTCCTTAACCCTACTGGAAATACCTCTCCTGATGCATCCCAAGACAGCATTAGCTTTTTTCATGGCCATATCACATTGGCGGCTCATAGTCATCCTATGATCAACCAATACTCCAAGGTCCTTCTCCTCCTCCGTTACTTCTAATTGATGCGTCCCTATCTTATAACTAAAATTCTTGTTATTAATCCCTAAATGCATGACCTTACACTTCTCACTATTAAATTTCATCCTATTACTATTACTCCAGTTTACAAGGTCATCCAGACCCTTCTGTAGGATATCCCTGTCCTTCTCTAAATTGGCAATACCTCCCAGCTTTGTATCATCCGCAAACTTTATTAGCACACTCCCACTTTTTGTGCCAAGGTCAGCAATAAAAAGATTAAATAAGATTGGTCCCAAAACCGATCCTTGAGGAACTCCACTGGTAACCTCCCTCCAGCCTGACAGTTCACCTTCCAGTAGGACCCGTTGTAGTCTCCCCTTTAACCAATTCCTTATCCACCTTTCAATTTTCCTATTGATCCCCATCTAATCCAATTTAACTAATAATTCCCCATGTGGCACGGTATCAAATGCCTTACTGAAATCTAGGTAAATTAGATCAACTGTGTTTCCTTTGTCTAAAAAATCCGTTACTTTTTCAAAGAAGGAGATCAGGTTGGTTTGGCACGATCTACCTTTTGTAAAACCATGTTGTATTTTGTCCCATTTACCATTGACTTCAATGTCCTTAACTACCTTCTCCTTCAAAATTTTTTCCAAGACTTGCATACTACAGATGTCAAACTAACAGGCCTATAATTACCCAGATCATTTTTTTCCCCTTTCTTAAAAACAGGAACTATGTTAGCAATTCTCCAATCATACGGTACAACACCTGAGTTTACAGATTCATTAAAAATTCTTGCTAATGGGCTTCCAATTTCATGTGCCAATTCCTTTAATATTCTTGGATGAAAATTATCTGGGCCCCCCGATTTAGTCCCATTAAGCTGTTTGAGTTTTGCTTCTACCTCAAATATGGTAATGTCTACCTCCATATCCTCATTCCCATTTGTCATGCTACCATTATCCCTAAAATCCTCTTTAGTCTTATTAAAGACTGAGGCAAAGTATTGGTTTAGATATTGGGCCATGCCTAGATTATCCTTGACCTCCACTCCATCCTCAGTGTTTAGCGGTCCCACTTCTTCTTTCTTTTTCTTCTTATTTATATGGCTATAGAACCTTTTACTATTGGTTTTAATTCCCTTTACAAGGTCCAACTCTATTTGATTTTTAGCCTGTCTCACTTTATCCCTACATGTTCTGACCTCAATAAGGTAGCTTTCCTTTATGATCACTCCCTTCTTCCACTCCCTGTATACTTTCTGCTTTTTCTTAATCACCTCTCTGAGATGCTTGCTCATCCAGCTTGGTCTACAACTCCTGCCTATGAATTTTTTCCCCTTTCTTGGGATGCAGGCTTCCAATAGCTTCTGCAGCTTTGATTTAAAATAATCCCAGGCCTCCTCTACCTTTAGATCCATAAATTCTTCAGTCCAATCCACTTCCCTAACTAATTTCCTTAATTTTTGAAAGTCAGCCCTTTTGAAATCAAAAACCCTAGTTGCAGATCTATTTTTGTTAATCCTTCCATTCAGTTTGAACTGAATTAGCTCATGATCACTTGAGCCAAGATTATCCCCTACAACCATTTCTTCTATGAGGTCCTTACTACTCACCAAAACCAAATCTAAAATGGCATCCCCTCTAGTCGGTTCAGCATCTACTTGATGAAGGAATCCATCAGCTATCGCATCTAGGAAAATCTGAGCCCTATTATTATTACTAGCACTCATCCTCCAGTCTATATCTGGGAAGTTAAAGTCTCCCATGATCACACAGTTTCCATTAGTATTTACTTTATTAAAAACATTAAAAAGGGCTCTATTCATATCCAAATTAGATCCTGGCGGTCTATAGCACACCCCAAGCACTATCCCAGGGGAGGCTCTAATAGTTTTCTTCCCCAATGTAATTTTTGCCCAGACGGACTCTGTCTTATCCATTTCATTGCTTCTTATTTCTTTACATTCTACCTCATCATTGATATATAATGCTACTCCACCATCTTTACCTTTATTTTGGTCTTTCCTAAACAGCACATACCCTTCAATACCTGTAGTCCAGTCATGACTACTATTCCACCATGTGTCTGTTATCCCTATAATATCTAGTTTCACTTCCTGCATCAGTAGCTCTAGTTCCTCCATTTTGTTACCTAGGCTCCTTGCACTGGTGTATAAACATCTTAATTTTTGCTGTTTGGCCTCACTCACATTCTGTACCCTATTAGGCACGGTCATTCTACAGCCAGTATGACCTATTAGACTGGTATCTACACTGCCCTTCCTCCTACCCACGGCTATATCCTTTCTTACTTCGTTTTCTTTCCTCTCAATGCTAAAATCTGGCGTGGAGATTACCTGGACATCTCCCAACCATCTCCCCCAAATTCCTAGTTTAAAGCTTTCTTAATCAGTTGTGCCAGCCTCCATCCTAGAAGTCTATTTCCTTCCCTACTCAGATGAAGTCCATCCCGAGAGAACTGTCCTCTGTCCATAAATGCCTCCCAGTGGCCATACATCCCAAAGCCCTCCTTATAGCACCACTGCCTAAGCCATCTGTTGATAGTCATAATCTTGTCACACCTTTGTTGCCCTTCTCTAGGAACAGGCAGAATCCCACTAAAGATCACCTGAGCCTCGATTTCCTTAAGCGTCTTCCCCAGCCTAGCATAGTCTCCCTTAATACTTTCCAGCGAGAATCTAGCCGTATCATTGGTTCCCACATGAAAGATAATTAGGGGATTCTTTCCTGCTCCCTTTAGAATCCTTTTCAACCTCAGGTCTACATCCCGTATCTTAGCACCTGGAAGACAGCACACCCTCCTATTCTCTGGATCAGCTCTGGTTACAGGCCTATCTATTCTTCTCAGTAAAGAGTCCCCGATCACATAGACCTGCCTTTTCCTGGTGACAGTGCTATTCTCCAGTCTATCCCCTGTTCCCTCTGGCTGCAAGTTCTTTCCATTCCTATTCTCCCTTGTAATCCTCTTCAACCCATCCTGTATCCTCCTGGGGCTCATATTTGGTGTAGTCTCCATTAACTCTTCCCCTTTTCCTATAGGACTAGCCGCTCTTCTCTTCCTTGCCCTTCCATCTTCAGTGATTACCTGCTGAGCCCCTTCTTCATTTTCCAACTCTGCAAACCTATTCTTGAGCTCTATTTCTGCTTCACTAGCCCGTCTTTTCCTCTGCCTGGTTCTTTTAGTCACATGCTTCCACTGACCACTTTCCTTACCCAGTCTCCCCTCAGAATTCCCCCGTCCTGCTTCCATCTGCAAGTCTGAGCTTTTCCCTTCAGATACCTCATGTCTTTGCTCCATAATCTGCTCAAACCCCTTCCTAAACTCAACCAGACTTTCCACCTGCATCTCCAAACCTCGGATCTTTTCCTCCATCAGCTTTATCAGACGGCACTTCATACAGACAAAACTCTTACCAGGTGCCCCCTCCAGGATCATGTACATACCACAGCTTCCACAACCAGTCATCTTCATTGTGTCTTCTGCTACATGGGTCACTCCCACTGCTGCCTCTGTATCTGTCATCGCCTTCCCACTGAAATCCTGTTAATCTGGGAAACACAAACCACACCAAAACACCACCACCCAGAGCAAAAACAAACCACAAGACAAACTCGCCTTTCAAACTCCCACTCAAACTCCCCTGTTTACAGCTCTGTTTGCTAGCTTCTGTGCCGCGGCAGCTGTCTGTGAATTGTAGACTGATTACTTAGGAGCCAAAATGCCTACTTATGATCAAATGTAAACTGCAACCCTAAACGTGGTTTTATCCCACACATTATATACATAATTCAGTAAAAGGAAATGCTCAGCATTATGCACAAACCACAAATTTCAAATGATAACAATTCATTTAAAAGCAGCATACAGAATATGGCACCATCACAAAGCTTAACTCAAATTCTTGTATTTTCAGGCATCAACCTGTGTTGAAAATGTTCTTTGCAGTGGCTTTATACTTTTACTTGAAATTCACTAGCTTTCAGAATAGGCAGGGTGTGCGGGTCGAGTTTTACACAGATCAAGTTTTACACTGGATTGTGCAACTGTAGAAGGCACTAACAGTAAAACCTGTTTCATACAGTAGTCAAATAAAAGCAGTAATTTCACATATAAAAAGGTTGGGCAAAAAAGTCCTCACTTAATATATTGTTTACTGTATTTTAATAAGTAGCATTCACCACCACTGTACAGTAATCTTTCTTCACTGTTCCTTGATTTTGAATACCTTTGGCCTATTCCATCCTCAAGGAACCTGCAGCTTGATGGACTGGAACCAGCTTTGGCTTTTAAGATGCACTGTGCCATCCTGTGTGTCAGCCTTTATGCATTTGTCTCTTTCATTCATTTGATTCATATGACCTGAAAAACAAAACTGCATTCAGTTTGCTATTCTGACACATTAAAAGTTTCTTCAGTATAAGCTTATTCAGAGCTTCCTGGAAACATTCTGCAAGAGGATTTGATTGATACTTTGTGTTTCCTTGCTGACATGATATCATTTGTTCTCTAAGTCTTTTAGTAATATGCCAGTGGAATGAATCTGGAGACTCATCATATTTTCTATTGCATAAAATCATGTAGATTAGAATTGCAGTGGGAAAAGAGACAAGGTGGATGAGGTTATATCTTTCATTGGACCAACTTCTGTTAGTGAAAGAGAGAAGTTTTCAAAACGCATCTGTCATGGAAGCAAGAAGCTTTCATCTCAGCTGCAAACTAGTCTAAGAAACATGGGTGAATGCCATGCACTATAGTGCTGATTTACTGGGACCAGTTTGCTACCTGTGGAAATGTTATTCTTATTACAGCAGTGCATAGAGAACATGACTGAGACTGGGGCTCTGTTATGTTAGGTGCTTTACATTCACATGGTAAGCAACAGTCCTTGCCCTGAAAAGCTTGCAGTCTAAATGGACACAACAAGGGAGAAAGTCAATATCATTTTACAAATGGGGGGCTGAGACACAGAGGACTAGATTCACAAAAAGCCTTAGGTGCCTAAATCCAAATCAGGCCCCACTGGGATTCACAAAACTCCCGCTCTGCTGCCCCCAAATTCAATAACTCGCTAAAATCACTTGGCACCTAAATTTTTGCTGAAGAAGTTCCTAGGTACCTATGTTTCTGCCTCTGAGCAAGCGCACTGCAGCCCCACCAGCCTGAAGCCTGGAGTGATTCACAAACTGGGGAAGGAAGATAGGCATTCTGCCTAAGTCACCTGAAAGATCTGATCCGGGAGGCATGCTCAGAGCCTGCTTACCGGATCAGGCCCCTAGAGATGATCTTACACAAAATGGCTGGGGACCAGGGGGAGGGAGAATTAGGACCTCCTTTATAACTTTTAGCCCAGTGATCAGGGTACTCACCTAGAATGTAGGAGACCTCCCAGTTCAAGTCCCTCTCCATCTGAGGGAGAAAAGGAATTTGAACTGGGATCTGCCACTTCTTTGAAGAGTGCCCTAATCAGTTGGCTATGGGATAGTCTGATGGAGGGAGGAGAGTCCCTCCATCTCTCCTGTCGAAGCTGTTCCACTATTGGACGAGAGAGAGAGAGAATGTGCCAGCATGAGAATGATTCTGTAGCCTGGTGACTAGAGCACTCAGGTGGGAGACCCAGGACCCAGCCCCCTGCATCAACGATTTAAAAAAAAAAAGATTTAGCCACAGTGGAAAAGCTTCAACAGGAGAGACTGAGGGAGGTAGCTGAACCGGGGGGGAGGGGGGTGTCTCCCAAGTGAGTGCTCCAACCACTGGGCCAGAAGTAATGAGGAAGCACTGTCAGCTTCTTGCTAAAACAGTGTAGGCACCTAACCCCAAAGAGGTTTTGCAGCAGAGAATCCCATGCAGAGATAGGCACCTAAATCCAGGCTACAGGGAGGTGCCGATCTCTGAGAAAGGACCAGGGTTTAGCACACCCCCCGCAATTTGGCATCTCCCATTGGTTAGCTTAGGTGAGGAGCCACTTCCCATGAGTCCCATTCTCAGGCATCCGTCTCCAGTGGCGCTGGAACATTTTTAATAGTGGGAGTGCTGAAAACCAGCGCCCTTACCCGTGTCCAACCCCTCTCCCCCAGCTGAGGCCAGGAGCAAAGCCCTGGGTGCAGGGTGGCAGCAGAGCCCCGGGCGTGGGGCTGGCAGCTGAGACCCCGGGCACGGGACTGTCAGCTGGGAGCCCGAGGGTGCTGCAGCACCCCTCACACTCCTAGTTCCTGCGTCTATGCCTGTCTCTCCCCATTCATTGTACAAGGAGCCTAGGCACCTAACTCAGGCTTTGTGAATGCCAGTGATTTTCTTGGTGCCTAAATTTCTTTGTGAATCTAGCCCAGGGGGATTAAGTGATTTGCCCAAGGTTACATAGATAATCTGTGGCACATCTAGGAATTAAACCCAGATTTCCTGAGTCCCAGTCCCATGCCAGTCACAAGATCAGCTTTCATCTTGAACTCTTTTCTAAACAACCTTTTGTTTTGTTTAAATTTTTGATGACTTTAGTGCTTACGTAAGTGTGTAATTTGTAAGTTTAGCGCTGAGCCTGGCATGGCCTGGGGCAGGTACTGAATCAGCATTCTAGAACAACTTTGCAAATGCGCCTCGGTTCAAACCTGCAACACACAGAACGTGAAGTCCTGGCCCCAATGAAGTCCAAGACGAACCCTGCCATGACTTCAATTGGCCAGTTTTCATCCCTAGAATCCAAGTCTTCTTGAGAAGAGGCTGACACTGCTACTGCAGTTCTATATGTTGATAAGTGGTGGCTACTGTGAGACTCTGGACAAAATCATGTCAACCCACAAGAGTGCTGGGAAACTATTTCAAAGCAACTGAGAAGACAGTTTGTTTACCCAGCTCTCCCACAGAGCAGGCAGGGATGTGAGTTTCCTAACCTACAGATGGTGAAAACGCTTTGGGGATCTTCATGTAGATGCTCCAGTGCTTACTCCTCAGTCCCCATTGCAACATGGGTCCCACTGAAGTTTTGCTCCTATTGGTTCCCTTCCTGCATTTGGGCCAAAACCCAGGTTTCTCAACTCCATCTGCCCAAACACTTCTAATGTCTGTCTTTGAAAAACATTTAAAAACAAAAGTGGAGTTCATGGCAATGTAGGACGGATGGGGTGTGCAGAATATTTGTCATTGCTGAAGTTTCAAGTTCTTCAGAAATTTTATCGGAATTACTATTACCTATTACTTTTCATTTGCCATAGCTCTGTGTAGGAGAATGAAGAATAGAAATGAAAAAGGAATCTACCTTCTAAGTAGAGACAGCCCTTAAAACATGAAAATGGACTGAATTTTAAACAGGAAATAACCTTGAAGTGTCAAAAAAATGAGCTGACAAAAATATGAAGGATTTCAGCTGTTCCCTTAGTAATGTTGTATGATATCTAGAATGCAGGCATTTTTCTAGGCTGTAAGAAGAGGGGACAGAGCAAATAGGTGGGGCATAGAAATATATGCCAGGAGATGGAAGTGAGAGTTGAAGATGCCTGGCCGTAATAAGTGTTTTATGCCAAGTGTGAATCTCTCTGGTGTGTTTTCATAGTCTCCAGTAAGCGCCACTGCATATGCGTTGATGAGATTTCATGCATCATTTACCTCTTATTAAATTATTGCTATAGAGCTGGAGAAAAACTTTTAACAAAACTAACAGAAAAAATATCTGAGATGTTTCAAAGTTCTAAAGTTGTCTGGCCTCAGCCTCTAGTTTTGTATTTGCTGTATTAACAAAAACGATTAATTCCTTTTGCTTCCTTTGGAGTTTTGTCTCGGCCACGCTGGTGGGGAATACAAGACCAACTTCCCTGTAACCAGAGTCTAGTGTTTAAAGTTCCACTTCCCTGGGACATGGCACCAAGAGCTCCTGGGGGAACAGATTCCCGAGCCCATCCCCATTAGCAGTTTAAATCAGGCACAGGAGCATAACATAGTTTAATGCACATGAAAACTTTCCAACTAAGCTATAAATAATTTTATAAAACCGTGTTGGAGTCCTGCCGGAGTAGTTCTTGAACACAGTTTTGTCTTGTGCTTGTGCTCTGAATAAGGAGACTCTAAGTAGGTTTTGAAGACTGCTTTGCTAAAACGTTTGAACTATGATAGCAAAAGCCATTCAGGTTTTTGTCAGTGTGGACAGGGATTTACTTTTAAAGCACACCATTCACGCTATCAGGACTATGCACCAAACATTCTGCATCTAACCATTAGCCATCCCTTTCAACTTAACACCTAGAAAACAGTAACTTTCCACATGTTTTGATAGTCAAAACAATTGTTCTCTAGACAAAGGCAAGTATGCACAAGCCTTCCCGGAGAATGGAGAAGCTAAAATGATCCCTTCCTAAGTTACAAGACACAGAATTTACTTATTTATTTTAATGTGAATTAATAGGAGAATAACCATTCCAAACCTAAAAAATCTACAAAAAAATCATATGCATGCAAGCTACGGATAAAAATGAGAGCTGTGATTCACATTAAAACCCAAACCTAAGGTAACCGTATGACCCGTTTTGGCCAGGACAGTCCCCCTTTTTAAGCTCTGTCCCGGATATCATGACATTTTTGGCAAAACTTGCCATTTGTCCTATTTGCTCTTGCCAACTGATCATTAGGGACAAATGCTGAGTTTTCAAATTGCCCCCAGGGGGGCATGGAGGAATGTTGAGGGGGGTGAACAGCGACACCAGGCAGCTCAGGCAAGTAATGACACTAGATAGCTCAGGCCTGACACCAGGCAGCTCGGGTGGGCAGCCCTGTATGGAAAGGCTCAGACAGCCTGTCGCAGCGCCAGGCAGGGCTAGGGCCAATGGCGACACCAAGCAGAGCTCAGGGAGAATCTCCCTGAGTGACACCAGGTGGCTCGGGCCGGTGTCCTGTTTTCAGTTAGGGAAATATGGCCACCCTACCCAAACCATTTTCATATGATGATGTGGAAAATTAGGAAATCAATCTCTGCAGTCAGAGTCCAGACCTTGGATTGCTCTCTGTTAAGGCAAGAACAGATGGAGAAATGCCATGCCAATGGTAGCTTTTTATTCTCACCTTGTGAGTAGTACATGACCAAAGGTTGGCTGACAGTGCAAGGCTCTAGTTTAAATGAATCTTGACAAGTCTCACAAGTTTTTGACTTTCTTGAGTTAAATGCAAGCTGAAACCAACCAAAAATCGATCTGTTGGACACAAGCTGATCTAATGTGTTATTAAAAAGCTGGGTTAACTTTCTATTTGACTCCAAGGAATTTAATCTTTTGTAGATTTTTACTAACTTCTTGCTTTAAGGAACAAAACTTCACCAAGATGTGCAAATGGACATTGTGAAACTGTAAGAAAGTCTCTTCCGACTCAGGTTGGGTGACATG